CACCATAATACCACATTCTCACTAGGGGTACCTAGAAAACGCGCCCCGTGACATAAAAATTTAATGATGCTAAAATATATATAAAAAATCTATGATGAAAAAAAATGAGAGGGAGGGCCCGAAACCTAATAAGAAACTGAAATATTAACACAAATCAAATTAAACCAACTGATGACAAAATCAAAATAGAGGCTGCGTATTCTGTCCATTGGACAAAATCAAGAGACGGAAAAGGATAAAAAAGGATAAAAAACATACGGGCATGGGAAAATATAACAGTCTGTTTATTTAGTTGACACCCCCACACCCTGGACTGAGTCCCCACTGAGTCAGGTTGGTTTTTAACGTGAGACCCCAGTGTTTTCACTCGGGCCGCTGGTCCAATCTGGTCTTAGCTTGTTCAAGCTGGTCTAAGCTAGTCATAGCTGGTCCAGACTAGTCATAGCTGGTCCAGACTAGTCATAGCCGTGATCGAATCTTGGCCGAGAAGCGATGGGGAAAATATAACAGGCTGATAGGATACCAGCTGCACGCTGGTATCCTATCAGCCTGCTATTAGTGTTATATATATTACACTAGTTTACAACATAAGTGACACAATTCAATTTGCATAAAATTTTTAAAGACATATTTAATGAATATTTCTTTTGAGTTATTTATTTTTAATTTAAATTTTTAAAATCACCATATATAAGCAAGGCTATAGTCGATAAAACTTTTTTTTAATTCACCATGTTTGTATAGAAGGAATTTATATCTGCCATATGAAACTTCAGTGGTAAGTTACAGAAAGTTTCAAAGTGTTTACATTTAAATGAAACGTAAAATAAAACTTGGCTTCTAAAATAACTTTTTAAAAAGCGGTCATACTGTAAATAATTAAAAAATTAAACATTTTGGCGTCTTCTATAATTTTAGGCTAAGAATATTAATTACGATATTATTTCTTGCAGCTTTTGTAGTAACCAATTTTGTCGTCTGACATTTGCCATTACAATTTTATTAGTCGAGAGGAACCGAAAACTTTTAAAGCAATTATTAAAAAATTAAAAATAATCTGCTAGTAGTCTGTCTATATTTCTGAGATGAGGTATTATGTACAGTATTTACATTAGTCGGACTATTGTCCTCATCTTTGTCGCCATATTTGTCCCAACGTTTGTTATGTATGCTTTTCTTCAGGTGGTTGGAATTTTGAAAAATTCAACCACCTGAAGAAGGCCGAAGCGTACAACGGCCGAAACGTTGTGACAAATATGGCGACAAAGATGAGGACAATAGTCCGACTAATCTGCTAGTAATAGTAAGTTTACTGAAGTATTATCATTATGATTATTACAAGCATTAGAAAATAAATAAACGGTACACTGAAAAAGGACCAATAAAAGCAGTTTTAAGATTGAACCCCATATATATATATATATATATATATATATATATATATATATATATATGAAAAATTTGGAAAAAAACAAACAAAAATCCTTAAATGCAATTATGTTGTTTAAAATAACATAATGAAATGTCGACGATAAGACTTTTCGATAAGACTTGTTTTTTAGGTCCATATTCATTAAAATTGAACTGAATTGTATTTTAATGAATATTGTCCTGAAGAAGGTTTATTAAAAACCGAAAACGTCAGACGTCGACATTTCATTCATTTTAAAACAACATAATTGCATTTCTATGATTTTTGTTTGTTTTTTCCAAATTTTTCTTCATTCTGTCGGATCTATATCCATTTACATTTATATATATATATATATATATATATATATATATATATATATATATATATATATATATATATATATGGCCTATTGATTGCATTTAAGCATGAAGCATACACTGTCGCTCTTTAAAGGTTGACTTAATGACCACATTTAAATTTACAGACGCTCTCTTATATTAAGCTCTATGACCATAAATATAGCATACCTTAAAACTACCTTTTATCGTATATATATATATATATATATATATATATATATATATATATATATATATATATATATATATATATAAAAATGTAGCTCAAAATGTGGGCGCGACACACACACGTACAGAGACACACACACACACGACACATACACGCACAGAAATCATCAAAAGAGTCCAATTTCAAAGAGTCTTTGGTCAACACGTAAGTCAATTGAGAACAATTTCGTTTGATTACGCTTCCATCTGTGCGCGTAAAGGCTATATCTATATATACAACCTGTAAGCACACCGAGCGTGTAAGCAACGATGAGGTCTTAGGGAGGGGTTGCAAACAAGGGGGAGGCTTATACTTAACATCAGGAAGAGTCAGCTGAAGTAATGAGGAAGGAGAACCTGGAGAATCTGATACTCACGGGTCGAATAGAAGGAAAGAGAGACAAGGGAAAACAACGCATGACATAACTAGCGGCCTTAAGCAAGTGGATGACAGAACATGGTCTGGGGGAGGTGGCAGAGGGAAGGAACTTGTCGAGAACTGCAAGGGATGTGTGTGGGAGGTGCAGAGCTATGGTCGGCGACGTTCCAAAAGGACATAGCACATAGAAAAAAAAGTGGGAAATATTTTTTTTATATCAAACTTTTTTAAAGATCAGAATTCTTCCGTGCCTTGACCCTCTAGTCAATAGTGAGGATGAAGAAAAAATAAAAACGACCCCCCTATTCATTTTTGTTAGGGTCAAAAAGTTCAGCTGACAAACGAAGGACTACGACGAATTTAATTCCGTAAGAGACTGGAAAATTTCGTTAGACACAAACCAAAAAATAATGCGAAACAGTTACGTAGTATCAGTACTCCTATATGCTGAAAAATTGCCTTAGAAATGAAAAAAAGAGACTTGAAGCAGTAGAGATATGTCTCTACAGAAGGATACTGAGAAAACCATGGACGAAACATGTGAGCAACGAAGAATTTTAAAGGAAAACGGAAAGAAACAGCAGGCTTATATTTAGAATCAAAAATAGTTGAAATTTATGACACATATAATGAAGAAAGAGGGCTTGGAGAATTTGACACACACAGGACATATTAAAAGCAAGTGGGGCAGATGGAAACAGCAAGTAATCTACCTAAGAAACTTATTTAAATGGATGGTAAAACAGGGACTGGGATGGACTGAAAAGAGACAAACATTGCTTAGAGATACAAAGGATGGGAAGTTGTGGAGAGTTTTGATTATCAGGCTTTGAAGGGATACGGCATATAAAAGAAGGAAGAAATAGGAAGTGAAACCCCTATGAAGTATGAATTGTCTACTTGCCGTTTTAGAACAGGCCAGGCTGGCGATAAGGCAAAAAAGGTGAAAACTATTTTTGTGGGTAGTATGAAATATATAGAACAATTGCAGCACAAGGCCTAAAGATAAGGAAAGGGGAAAATGTCTGGCCATCTATATCTGATGATTTAACATGATAGTTACCATCACTGATACATTTGTTAGGTTATTTTTATTTTCGGGCGAACTACATTCATTAGTTCTAACAGTCCAGACCTTCGCAGCTAGGACCCACCAGTACACGTACACCGAGCCGACTCATCCTAATTCCCTTCATATTCCATTGGTAAGGAGGAAGTTCAACTCAGACAGCGTCCTTTCCAGAATTGTTACATCGTGGAACGGGCTTCCGAGGGAATGCTTCCCCTAATCACAACAATCTTAATCTATTCAAGTCAAGGGTCAGCTGATTATCTATCCTACATGTCTCTATAATATGAAACTCTTGCTCTATCTCGGTACGCCTTTACAACATCTCGTTCAGTAACTGTCTGCCTTGAGTGGCTCTTAGGTCCTGTATTGGGTGAGCAATAGTAAAAAAAAACAAACAAAAAAAAAAAAAAAAAAAACTAACAAGCATCCTTCAGATTCGTACAGCAAACCATATTACTCTACGACTGTCTAACGAGTTCTATTTCTAGTTCTACGTATTTTTGTTGGGGGATCGATGGAAGGAATACAATTAATATACAATTTATATATAATAAAAAGATCCACGGTGATTGTATTCAATGGAAAAAGGTTTTGATTGATTTTACGGCTTGTCAACCCTTGTGGGCTATTTAAACCCGGAAATTATTTCAGATTGTAGGAGGTCGCTTACAGTCCCCGATTTCCCAAAGCGGTCCCGCATTCACTAAAACAAAGTTAATAAATTGTTACTATAAAGACCCCACAATCGAAAATGGCAGAAAGAAGAATTCATAAGTGAAAAAAAAAAAATAATAGGACAGGATAAAATAACAAATAAATGAATAAATAAATCACTTGCACGAACATGCAGGCATTTAGACGCAATAAATACGAAGGACCCCGAACCTATTCGGGAATTGAAATTTCTGTCAGCGTGTGGAGAGGGAATGTGGAAGTAAAACAAGAGAAAATTAGGTAAAATAAACGGACCGTTTCTGCTGCCATAAATGGAGACAAAATGGTCGTTAATTTACCAAAGCTGATCAGTCAATTTTGGCAAAGCTAAATACACAAAGCAAATCATATTGCTACGCATGTATACATTGGGGGTTTCAGCACATTATTGAAATCTGCGCGAACCTAATGTATGAACCAAACTGACATCTGCCGTTCCTTTCAATAATCCTTACTCTCCAGCGGTGCTTCCTACCAATTTTTCAGATTACGAAATATGTACCCTTCTTCCTGGAGATATAATAAATTTATTCTACATCTTCTTTAGCTGCGCGTGAGGTCTGAATAAGTAACTTTTTCTCATAGATTATGCGTCTGGCCGATGGAACGGCTTTGGTGTTGTCAGAACAATGTCAGCAACACTAAAGTTATAAATTATCCGAACAAATTTTTGAATCTTAGTGGCTTTTATGAAGGTTTTATGTGATATACGTTTTATATAATATACGTTTCAACTTTTGTTTCAATCATTGTTTATTTAGGCGGAAATAAATAGTTTCAAATCAAAGTGACACAGCAATTGATTATTCAGTAGCAGCCTTTTGAATTTACATAGAAATCTTTTTCAGAACTCTAATGAATGCCCTGAGATTGAATTTGGGAGGAGCCCCGGAAGGGCCGGCCGGAACCGGAAAAACAGAAACTTGTAAAGACCTTGCGAAAGCCGTAGCAAAGCAGGTAACACATTATTCAAATTTTTGTTCTTAATTGGCAATTTTCTTTTGTATTTGAGTACGAAATCTGAAGCTGGTGTTCCATTTGTTCTGCCATTTCAGTGTGTTGTGTTCAACTGCTCTGATGGTTTGGACTACAAAGCAATGGGGAAATTCTTGAAAGGTTTGGCCCAGTCTGGTGCCTGGGCATGTTTTGATGAATTCAATCGAATAGAATTAGAGGTAAGATGTTTGTTTTTCTTACGTTTGGATGTTTTCTTATTCTCTCGTCATAAGAATCTCGACACAGACGTAGAATTCGCGTAAAGGCTTATAAAATGTGTAAATTTGACCATTTTCGCATTTCCGGAAATTGCCTAGTTCCACTAGTTTCAAACACTGGCAACAGGAAGTGCAATTGGATCCTACTTCTTTTCGTGTAATGGAAAGGTGCTGCTTGCAAACGTATTCCCAGGAACTAGGCGATCAGAAACAAACGTTCTGTCACTTTCGGTTATCCATATTTCAAGTAGTAAATTTAGTTCAAATTAGTATATTTAGTTCAAATTAGCAAATTTAAACAGAATTTCATCATAAATCGATAAGAGGGGGTGATTCAATACCCATTTGATCTTTTAACAGTATCGACAGATAACCGACGCATATTGTCAAAAATGGTATTTTTCTTTATATTTTGAGTAAAAGTAACTAGTTCTTTTTTCAAATCTATTTAAATAATCATTTTTTCTGCAAATTATTTATTTCTATATTTTCAGATATATTTAGTTAAAGTGCTTAAAATATTCGTCGGTATACAATCATAGGGTAATCGCACTTAATTTGGGATTACAAAAAAGCAGTTAAAACTGTTTTTAAAGTAAAAATAAAGCAAAAATAAAAAGGAGGTCTATTTCAAATACGAGTATCCACTATAATAACGTTAGAAGAATTAAAAATCCCGGATTAAAAATAAATCCATTAATTCGTGATATATATAGTTTTTAATCCAGTTTATGTGACAAGGTCTTTCAGTGTTAGTCAATCTATGAAAACTCACAAATAAAACATACGCACTCACACATGCACACACACGTACACGCAAACAAGTGATCACAAAGAGAGGCGACGCGTACAACAAAGAGAAATGATGTTTTTAAATGTTACAAAGAATCGACAGTTGTGATATAATAAAGATCTAATTTCGTTTAATGATCTTGCAGGTGTTGTCTGTGATAGCCCAGCAAGTGCAAACCATCCAACGTGCGATAACCGAACAGGCGACCATGTTTGTGTTTGAAGGCACGAAAATATCCTTGGATCCAACTTGCAGCATTTTCATCACAATGAATCCAGGTTATGCGGGAAGAGCAGAACTTCCAGATAATTTGAAGGTTCTTTTTAGAACGGTCGCCATGATGGTCCCCGACTACGCGATGATCGGAGAAATATCCTTATATTCAATGGGATTTGTTGACGCCAGGAGTCTTTCCATAAAAATTGTCGCAACGTATAGGCTTTGTTCTGAGCAAGTGAGAACATTTATTGTTTTATTTTACTTTGCTTTTGTATATATATATATATATATATATATATATAAGATTTATTCGAAAATTATAATATAAACATGTTATAAAATCACTAGAAAAATAGCCATTGTGTTTCAACACTTCTAGTGTCTTATCAAGTGATGGTATTTGATATGTCCCGATTAGAGATATATTTGTTCGAAGTAGGAAAGTTGTTTTGGACTACTGTAACCGAGTAGGACAATCTAGCAGGTAACCGTAATTGACTGGTCCTCGTCGTAGTGGTAGGCAATAGGCGTAGGCAATAGGCGTACTCCCTGTGCCTCCACATCAGTCTGTATTTATGGCTGACACCAGCCAATCATATTAATGTGATGGGGAACCCAGGTGTATGCATATTCATTACATCACATATATTTATTACATCAATATTCAACATCATAACTTGATAACACACCAGAGGTGTTGAAACAAAATGGCTATTTTTCTAGTGATTTTATAACATATTTAAGTTATAATTTTCGAATAAATTATATTTGCTTTACTCTGTATTGAGCACTCTTTTAAGAATAGTATTTTTGTTTATTGGAATTTCTTCTGTATACACCAATCCTATACATACTTGGGGACGCACACACACACACACACACACACACACACACACACACACACACATATATATATATATATATATATATATATATATATATATATATATATATATACTGCAACACCAAAATTGTCCAAATCGTGTAACAGCATAATTGTCGATCTCACAAAATGTCAAAAATCTAAAAACGCTAAATTGGGTTTCTTTTTTTCGGGGTTTTCTGATAAGACGTTTAGCCATCTTGACATGATTTGTCACAATAATCACTGAAAAACCCTCAGAGTTATTCAGCTAGAAAGAGAACAGGTTAAAATCGTTTTGTGTCAGTCCCACTGTCTTCTCAAATGAGCAATGGTGAGGGGAAAAATATCATTCAGGCCTTCAGTACTGGTACCATCATTCATACTCTGGCTTCCATCTTCAAAGTCTATTCAAGAGAAAGGAGAATAAGTTTAAGTGGGAACATTAAAGAGGAAAACTGGATTACGAGGTCACAACAGGAAGAGAGATCATCATTTCAACTGAGAGCTAAAGAGATCAATTAGAAAAGATCCAACACAATTCATAAGAAATTTGGCACGAGAGAGAGAGAGAGAGAGAGAGAGAGAGAGAGAGAGAGAGAGAGAGAGAGAGAGAGGTTTCAGCTATGACAGTCTAAAGAGCAGTGAAACAAGACTTGAAAATGAAATCGTACGTGAAACCTGTAAGGCATCTTGTTAATCTCGAAAGAAGGTTAGAGAGAGCAAAGATCCTCTTAAATAAGTTGGAAAATGATCCTGGAATAATATATATTTATATTTGAACTTTATTTAATTTCTTCATGAGCTTCCTATTCTTAGCTATGATTAATTAATGAGGAACATGTTGTTTTCGTTTATGATCGATTTCATCACGATCCTTCTGCTAATCTTGGAGAGTAATGATACATTTTTATTGCTCAAAGTAGAGTCCAGTAGTTTTATCAAATATGTGGTGCAGTTCAATTTATATTGCAATGAATCGTTCATACAAAAAATTAGTAAAGTTACGATAAAATGATATAAAATGGCGAAATCCCTTCGCTAACAAATTTAAAGATGCATTAACCTACCAATCACTCAATGAATGTTATGATCCTTGTTTTTTAAAATTATAAACTGTACTAGGTCTTCCTTAAATACGCAAATACTTTCGACTGTACGTTCAGTCATCTTCAGGCATGGAAATTATTTTGTTTTTGGTAAAAATCCAGGTAGCATCCGAGACGAAAAAATATAATGCGAATCGAAATATGTTTTTTTGAAATGTGTTATTGATAACGGATACAAACTTTTGGAGCATGCAATCGCAAAGCTGAGGTTGAATATTTTTGAAAATTTAAGAGAGTGCGTTTTTTTTTTCTTTTTACTAATATAACAATTTGAGTTTTTTTGTTGTTGTAGGAGTTTATCAGACAATATGTCATGAACTAAACAGTTCAATAAGTAGATTAATGTCTCAGTTGTTACCCCTAAAATTTGCATGTCAAATCAGTTCTTTTAAATCAAATATGTGTAGTTCAATTTATATTACAATGAATCATTCATACAAAAAGTAAATTAGTAAAGTTAATGATATAAAATGGCGAAATCCATTCGCTAACAAATTCAGGCAGTATCCGAGTCAAAAACTAATATAATCCTGCATCTTTAAAATTTGTTAGCGAAGAGGTTTCGTCATTTTATATCATTAACTTTACTAATTTACTTTTGTGTATGAATGATTCATTGTAATATATATATATATATATATATATATATATATATCGGAGAAAAATACTATGTAAATTTTTATATACCAGAAGAATTTTTAAGAAAATTAATGGCGTAAAGAAAAAAAAAGTTTCGTGTGACGTGTTTTTTACCCTGCTGGACCAATGTTTTATTTTCCTTGATCTAACTACAAATGCACCCGAAGGAGTGGCGATGATGAAAATTTGAATTTTTAAATTTAACCTAATTTTGTTTTAAATTATTTCTATGTATGATTAATGCATTTGAGTCATACATAAAATAAATTCAAACAAAACTTCGAATACTTACTAAAAGGGAAAATAACTTTTATAAGCAAAAAGTTCTTGAGAGTGTCGCTATCGAATTTTGACAAAATGTAAATCTGCTGTGTCCCGAATTTTTTCAAATATCTCCTTTCCTAAAAGATATACTCTTTTCCCCAAGCTAACATACGTTACAAAAAAAAAAAAAAAAAAAAATTAAAAGAAAAAATTAAATCAAAATCTTCTATTATTTAAAATAAATAATTTTCCTTTTAATTGTCTTTCTTTTACAATATTTATGAAATTTCTTCAGTTTAAAAATCATAAAAACCTAACGATATTTTTGCTTCTGTTTATAAATACTTCGTACAAATTAACAACCTTATATTTGGTTCGCTAAATTCCATCAACGGACGAAACGCGTCGGTAAACAATAATTTTCCTTTTGTCTTTATTAATACTGTCTTTTTACAGATATACTTTTTATTTATTCTGGATTTTATATACACACACACACACACACACATATATATATATATATATATATATAAGAAAAGGCTAAAATGCCAACCAACCTCGCCACCCGGGTTTCGACCTTAAAGTCTCCTCAGGCAAGTGGAAGGATGTACAAGCCGAAGAAAACTACTCCAATATACCAGAACAGCGGAAGTGAAAAGAATGAGGAGGGGGGGGGGGAAAGAGAGGAGAAAATAATTTTAAATGAGGAAAAACGGGGAAAAATATATATACAATTATTTGCTGTTACCATTGAAAGCGCCTATTTGGTTAGTAAAGAAAAACATAAAATAAAACTATCTTTATTTTATTCTAAATTCAGAAAATTAATTAAAACCTGATTTTTTTAAAATCTAACATCATTATGACGCCATTTTAACAATGCATGCTATGATTGTTGTTATTTATAACATGTTCTTTTTATGTAAACGGTGATAATGTAAGTTTTTATTAAGCAAATCCATCAAAACTTTCATTTCCTCATTATGTATATCATTATCATCATCAGCAGCAATTACTATTCCACTTGTCTTTTCCAAATTCTTCCGTGACGACCGTGATCGTACTATATTATCTGTCTGATGTTTGTGTCACTTTTTTCTTTCAGTTGTCTTCTCAGCATCATTATGACTACGGCATGAGGGCAGTAAAGTCCGTTCTAACGGCTGTGGACAATCTGAAAATTAAATACCCTGACCAGCGTGAAGACCTGTTAGTACTCAGATCCATCAAAGACGTCAACTTACCAAAGGTTTCATTTGTTTGCTTTACTTACATTAAACTTTTTTTTTTTTAATTAAAGCCATCAGGGAGTGTATGAGACAGTATCATATTTTTCCCTTGCGCTTGTGGTCGACTTTATGTAAAGGCGGCCAGGTTTCGAATGCCGATTTTCGAGGCAGGCAGGCGTTGCTCAGTTAGGATATTGGCACAACATAAACCACCTAAACGACATTTGTTTCCTCAGTACTGGACGGACTTTAGTTTATCAAATATCTTCGATGCAAATTGCAATAAACAATCTTAAAAGAATTCTTCTTTAGTATCCAGATTAATTCGCAGCTGAAAAGCTAAACATTAGTATTTATTTAATCACTTCATCCCAAGCAAGGCGATAATGCCACTAAGACGCAAGAGGTTACTAAGATTAGAAAAGACTTAGTGAGGAGAAAGAGCAATAAAAGAAAAGGTTTCAGCAAAGCAGAAGATGACGATTAACGTTGCATTGAAATTTTTGAAGATTGTAGGTAGCAGGGAAGCAATAAATCGAAGAGAGTTCCACAGGCGAGAAGTGCGGGAAAAGAAACTGTTACAATAGAACAGACGGTTGCATTTGGCTATTTCAATAGTAAAATGATAAGACTAGAAGTCAATCTTGTAGGACGCTTAAATTCATTCGGTTGAGGTACCAAAGAAGATACCTCATTTGAACAACTACCATGAAAATATTTATAGAAATGACAGACGGAAGTCAAGTCACGGCGATGGGAAAATCATTTTGTCGAAATATCGTGATATATATCCGGAACACCAGACTAGATATGGCAGAAATATTGAATGCATGGACGAATGGTAGATTTATGAATTTACAAGATGGATTCTGACGAGGAAAATTGTCTGGCATGACACAGTGAATCAACCATTTTAGCAGCAGACGTAGCAATTGATTCAATTTAATCGCTCCATTTCATGCCACTAGAAAATGTTAGACCAAAAAGGCACAATGTGTTGCTCTCTTGGACGTTAGCATCGGTCATGTTGATGGAAGGCAAATAATAGTTCTGATGTTTAAAATATAGCGGTTTCATTTTGGAAGTGTTAAAATTTACGAACTATTTCTTGCCACAGTTAGCAACTGACTGG